GTTGTTCAGATTGAGGATGCTAGAAGGTACGCCTTGGAGGCAACATCTCGAACAGTTTAACTCTATTTTGCTGGATCTGCATAATATAGATGTTCAAGTTGATGATGAGGATGTTGCCCTAATCCTACTGGTTTCTTTGCCGAGTTCATATGAGAATTTCGTTGATTCTTTTATTGCTGGTAAAGAGAGCGTGTCGTTGGAGGATGTCAGGTCTGCTCTTCATACAAGAGAGATCAGGCATAAGGCGTCTGGATCTGGTACAGGTGGTGAGGCATTGGGTTTGGCTGTTACAGGTGGAAAGGGAAAGAAGAAATCTGGTAAAGAGAATTCGAACAAGAATTCCAAGGGTCCCGGTCCACAAGCAAATGATGCTTGTCACAACTGTAAGGAAGTGGGGCATTGGAAGTACAACTGTCCCAAGAGAAGAGGGCAACAGAAGAAACAAGTTTCAGTTGCCATGGCAGAAGTAGACAACAGTTCTGAAGACGATCTCGCCTTGGCTGTAGATGAGAAGGCACATCGTGGGGATGTGTGGTTTCTGGATACTGCAGCCTCATATCATTATGTCTCTGAACATGGCTTGTTTCACAACGTACGAACAGATAGATGGTGGTAACGTGGTCATGGCAAATGGAGCTGTCTGCAAGGTTGTTGGAGTCGGGTCTATAAAGGTTCGGGCACATGATGGTTCGTTCTGTACCGTGAATGATGTCAGACATGTTCCACTAATGACAAACAACTTGATCTCCTTGAGTCTACTCGACAGCAAGGGTTTCAGCTTCAAAGAAAAAGGTGGAGTTGTGTATGTCTGCAAAGGTTCAAGAAAGGCGCTGAAGGGCGTGAAGCATGGGACCTTGTATGCATTACAAGGGTCTGTGTTGTCTGGTTCTGCTGCAGTTGCATCGTCTCAGGTTCATCAGGAAGATATGACCACTCTCTGGCACATGAGACTGGGGCATATGAGTGAACGGGGGATGCAAGTTCTATCGAAGAGGGATCTTCTTTGCGGGCACAAGGTGTAGAATTTGGAATTCTGTGAGCATTGTGTGTTTGGGAAGCTACATCGTAGCAAGTTTCCCAAGAAGGGTATCCACCGGACAAAGGGAATATTGGATTACCTCCACTCCGACTGTTGGGGTCCTTCACGAGTTGAATCCATTAGAGGCAGCAAGTATTTTCTGTCTATTATTGATGATTATCCGAGATTTACTTGGATTTTCATGATGAAGCAGAAAAGTGAGGCTTTCACGAAGTTCAAGCAGTGGAAGACATTGGTGGAGAATCAGACCGGTAAGAAGATCAAGAAGCTGAGAACGGACAATGGTCTGGAGTTCTGTAATTCTGAGTTCAACGAATTCTGCAAGGATGAAGGGATTGCCCGTCATCGGACCGTGAGAGATACACCCTAGTAGAATGGCGTTGCAGAAAGGATGAACCAGACATTGTTGGAGAGAGCACGGTGCATGCTCTCCAATGCTGGACTAGAGAGAAGATTCTGGGCAGAAGTAGTGAACATGGTGTGCTTCCTGATCAACCGTGGACCTCACACAGGTATCGAGTTGAAGACTCCTTATGAGGTGTGGTATGGTAAGCCTGCTGATTACTCTTCACTGAAAGTTTTTGGGTGTCCTGTTTATTATCATGTGGATGAGGGTAAACTGAACCCAAGGGCAAAGAAGGGTGTATTTGTGGGTTACGGAGATGGAGTTAAAGGATTTCGAGTCTGGTCACCTTCTGAGCATCGGGTCATACTCAGCAGGAATGTGATATTTGATGAGAAGTCTATGTTTAACCCCATGTTGAAGGTTACTGTTGTTGAAGGTAGCAGGAATGTTGATAAGCAGGTGGAGCTTTAAACTCTCAATGAGAGTGAGTTTGAGCACCAAGGTGGAGAAAATCAACATAAGGATGTTTCTACAGAGCCAGAAACTTCAAATTCCAGTGCAGGAGCTCAACAGTCTATAGCTTCTGGTAGACCAAAGAGAGCGACTGCAGGAGTACCTCCAGAGAGGTATGGTTTCGAGGACATGGTGGCGTATTCATTTCAGGTTGCTGAAGAAGTGGATGCAGGTGAGCAACAGTCATATAGAGAAGTCGTTTCGGGTGGCGAAGCTGATTAGTGGCTTGCCGCAATGGGAGATGAGATGGAATCCCATGACAGGAATCAGACTTGGGAGCTAGTCAAACGACCACAGGGAAGGAAGATTGTTACAAACAAGTGGATCTACAAGAAGAAGGAAGGAATCACTTCTAAAGAGGGCATGGAATTTAAAGCTCTGGTGGTTGCACGTGGCTTCTCGCAGAGGGAAGGAGTTGACTACAATGAGATTTTCTCACCAGTGGTCAGACATACTTCGATCAGAGTGCTACTAGCAATAGTGGCACATTATGACTTGGAGCTCGAGCAGCTAGATGTGAAGACAGCTTTCCTGCATGGAGAGTTGGAAGAAGAAATTTACATGACTCAGCCAGAAGGATTCGAGGTTCCGGGAAAAGAAGACTATGTTTGTAAGCTGAAGAAGTCCTTGTATGGACTTAAGCAGTCTCTGAGGCAGTGGTACAAGAGATTTGACAGTTACATGCTTGAGCTGGGCTACAACAGAAGTCCTTATGATTGTTGTCTGTATCACAACAAGGTGGAGGGTGGTTCGATGATCTATCTTGTTCTATATGTGGATGATATGCTCATAGCTGTGAGGTCGAAGTCTGATATCCAGAAGTTAAAGGGGCTTCTCAGTGCTGAGTTTGAGATGAAGGATTTGGGAGCTGCTCAGAAGATCTTGGGTATGGAGATTTACAAGGACAGGTCGAAGAAGAAGCTTTTCTTTTCACATAAGAGCTACATCCAGAAGATATTGTCGAGGTTTGGCATGTCTTCAGCAAAACCCTTAAATACTCCTAGTGCTTCAAATGTTCATCTATCCTCAGCTTATGCACCGCAGTCAGAGGCTGAGAAGGAGTACATGTCGAGATTCCCATATGCTAGTGCAGTAGGTAGCTTGATGTACGCTATGGCATGCACTAGACCTGATCTTGCACATGCTGTTAGTGTTGTCAGCAGGTTTATGATACAACCTAGGAAGGAGCATTGGCAGGCTGTGAAGAGGATCTTCCGGTACCTTAAGGGTACACCTGATGTGGGGATTAGCTTCGGAAGTGATACAGAGTGCTTCGTGTCTGGGTATTATGACTCGGACTATGCTGGAGATGTTGACATGAGGAGATCGATGACCGGTTATGTATTCACTCTTGGGAGTTCTGTAGTGAGCTGGAATGCAACTTTGCAGTCGGCGGTGACATTGTCTACTACTGAGGCAGAGTATATGGCGTTGACAGAAGCTGCTAAGGAGGGAATATGGTTGAAGGGACTGGTTGGTGATCTTGGTCTACATCATGATCAGGCAGTGGTGTATTGCGATGGTTTGAGTGCAATATGCTTGGCCAAGGATCAAGTCCACCATGAGAGGACTAAACACATCGACGTGAGGTATCATTTCTTGAGGACAAAGAAGAGGATTAAGGTGAAGAAGGTTGGCACCGCGGATAATCCTGTTGATATGTTCACGAAGCCGGTTCCACATGGCAAGTTCCAACACTGCTTGGACTTGCTGAATGTCTTGAGTGGGTGACTCAGCCCTACGGGGGCATTGATGGCGGGAGAGAGAGAGAGAGAGAAGGAGCATCGTACATCTGAGGTTTCAGAGGAAGAGGATTCAAGTCAAGGTGGAGATTTGTTGATGTGACTTGAATCGGACTATCAGCCGCTGCGACTGGTAGTCGGGGGTCTCGCTGTTATTTGGGTTCGGGTTCTAGGCCTGGTCTGTAACCGTTTCCTTTGCCAGATTGGATTAGGTTTAGACCCACATGGAGAAGTACTATAAATACTTCTCATACTCCTCTGTAATCTGTAAACTCCTCGATATAGTGAAAATGGCTCTCTCTCGCCCGTGGACTAGCCAACACACATCGTGTTAGTGAACCACGTAAATCGTGTGTCTGTGTTTCTTAAGGTTGTCAACCCGCGGGTCGACCTGGATTAACCCGGACCCGGCCAAAAAAAGGGCCATACCAACCCATTTTCATGTCAGCCCGGAAATAGTCAAACCCGGAGAAACCCGTTCAAACCCGGGTTGGCCCGGCCGGTTAGCCCGTTGGAGCGGGTCAGCGGGTTGCTCTTTTCCATTATTTGCGACCTGAGCCTCTCCATTACCTTTAGTTCCTTGAGTCATAGTCATTTGGTAAGGGTTTGGGACTTGGTTCCAATAAATGGAACGAAAGATATATGTGATGTTTTGTGAATGATTTAAGTGTTGTTGAATTTTTACTATGTTGAATTTAAGTTGATGTTATTTAAGTGTGTTGGAGTTGAAGTAGTGTTGCATTTTTTTATGTTGGATTCAGGATAAGTATAATATAATTACATTTTCCATATTTCCGGGCTAAAACGGGCTAAAACGGGTGACCCATTGACCCATGACCCACTAGCTCATCCGGGTCCGCTTTTGTATTCTTGCTTTATCAATTTTGGCGATTTCCCAATCCGTAGCAGCGCGTTAAAGTTTTTAACATACATACTCTTGTCGTCCATTTTATTAATTATTCGTAAGAAACTCCAAGGAAAGACTATCACAATAGCAGTATCTAGATTCTAGGGCCTAGGGGTGGGCCAAATTTGGACTATAAATTAGATTTGGTTGAACATATTTTCATTGGTTTTTCATTCTATAAATTAGTATAAGTATGGAGAATGAATAGACCAAAATTGAATTTGTACTGGACCCAATATTAAATTAATCGAACATACTTTTGATTTCATTATACTCCTCATCTTTCCTTTATTTTTTATCTGGTTCTATCTCAATTCGATGGAATTATAGTCGCACAAACCAATACCCACTTAGTCAGTATCTCTGAAAAATTACAAAAAGTAAAAAAAGAAAAAAGAAAAGAGCAACTCAACGTAATCACTAACGAGTAACGATGGAGCAGATTGACGTCAATCAGACAGCAAAAGCTGAACGGAAGACGTCCATTTGATCCGGTGGCAGAGCCAGTCCAACCTCGATCCCACGGCTCCCATTTCTACAATCCGTCAGCGAGATGGCACCCGTCCGATCTATCGACGTCACCTCCACGTACTTGGGCTTCCCCCACCCGAAATCCGTGTCGTACACGTGGAAGCTCGGTGACCCAGCGATCCCGATAAACACGCCTCGGCTGGCTTTCATATTCTCGAAGAAGGTCGAGACGGAGTAGTCTCCCCTAACATGGTCCCCAGAGGCCCCCACCGGGTTCTCCTCCACGTCATCAATTATCTTTCTGATCCTCTCCACAGCGAATCCTACCCCTCCCTCCGCCAGCAGAGGTTTCACCTGTATCAGCTCCTGTCCACCAAAGACGCAGTTTCCTAGATAGTTCGCCGGCAACGGTGGTTTCAGCCGGCGTCGGACGTCCGCCGCGAGACCGAAATGGACCACTGCTTCCCTATTCTCTTCGTCGTGGTCGTCGGCTCGGGTTCCGAGGCCTTTGGCTTTCACCAAGCAAATCAAGGAATGAGCGAAGGTAAGGACAAAACTCGACAAACGTAGCTGATAATGAGTTCCCAACGGCATCGTTTTGCTCGTCGCTACCTTTTCCCTCAGCGCCTGGATCCGGTCCTGGGAGAGCAGAAATGTGGCCCGGACCAAGCCGGATGCGGAAGCGGACGGCGGGGTCAGCTTCAAGCTTCTCGGGCCCGGGTTATCCTGACCCGGAAGGCGAAGCCCGGTCCAGAATTTGAGGTTGGCCAGGCCCATGTCATTTGGGTCTTTTACGACGGACCGGTCCAGAAACGGGACGAGATCTTCGGGCAAAGAGGTGACGTTTGATTTGGATAAGTGGGCCCAGGCCTTGAGGAAGTGAGTGGCGGATTTCCCGTCGAGGACAGCGTGGTGGCTGGACATTCCTACGCAAAATCCCTGGTCAGGGAAAAGCGTGATCTGGAGCGCGACAACCGAGGCCTCCGAGTCGGAGGACGGCAGGACGGGGATGTAAAGGTGCGATTCGATGGCGTCGCGGATCTGCCCGACGTCGGAGGCGAGGTGGTTGAAATCGGCGGCGGACTGGGCGACGGTGAGCTGGACGGCCGGGGCGGCGGAAGGGGCGTAGAGGAGGAAGGGTTTGGGCGAGTCGGGAGGCCAGGTGAGGGAGGCGGCGAGTGGGAGGAAGCGGGAGAGAGCGGCGGAGAGGGAGCGCGTGAGGTTTGGGAGGATGGAGGAGGTGAAGAAGGCGGCGGTGGAATTTTGGGGCGGGAGGGGGTAGAAGATGAGGCGCTCGACGGGCGGGATGCGGAACCAGATGAAATCGAAGTAGGTGAGCGGGAAAGTGACGTCGACGGAGGGCGGTGGCGCGTCGGTGAAGGACGGGGAGATGTGGTGGAGATGTAGCGTGGTGATTGGGGTTGGGGACTCAGCCGGCGCCATTATCAGATGGACGGAGAGGAAGTTGGGTTATTATATGTCTATATACAATACAGATTTCCTCATATATATGCCGCCATTGGATACGGTAAAGAATTGGGCGAGGGAGGGAGGGATGAATGGGAGATTTCAATAATTGAAGGGTCAAGGGTGTGAACACCAACGGCCATCTAGAATGGCGGACCAGTATGGTCACGTAACTAATGGCGACAACATGGTAGTGTTAATTGCATGTGGCCCCATGCTCCCAGCTGCATTTGTGGACGTTAGTAGGGGTGGGTATTGGTGCGGTCCAAACCGCTCCGACCGCTCCAAATCGCTTGTGCGAGCAATCCAAACCTGCACCATTTAAATTGTGGTTTCATTTGCGATCTAATTCTCAAGCGGTTCGAGATTTTGTGATACGGATCGACCGAAATCGTGCAGTTACGATTCAAAACCGCAAACAGCTAAATCCCTACGTCAGGAATTTGGGAGAAGAAAAGAAACCACGCCCCGCGAGCCGCGTCATTTGAAGCCCAATTAGCCCATGGGCCATGGACGAAAATGGTAAGGTTTTGTGTGTTAAGCCAGTTTGGTGCCGTATGCCAATTTTCATTTCCATGATCCCATTTCCCAATCTTGAAATCTGTATTTCTGGTCAACTAAGAAAGTATATCTGAATTGTGATGGCATATATTTTCACAAAGATCCAAAGACTGAAACGACACGAAAAAACAGACCTGGAAAAGGCGAAGGGCCGGTGCAACTCGGCAAGGAGAAAGGCTGAACCCAGGCGCTACACTAACACTACAGTAGAACCTTTGACAGTTTATCATGGTTACTAGTTTAGGAATACTCCTGGATGATTCCACAAATCCTAGGTTCTTTTAGGGTAAATTAACGAGTGTATTGACGAGTTGCTTATCGTCATAGAGGATCAAATTCTTTTATGAATGAGAAATTTTATTTCATCAAGTACTATCAAGACCCTTGAAAGTTCAATAGTCAGACCTACTTACACTCAGTGGCAGAGCGAGAGCTTAGGAACTGGTGTTCCGGGACCTCACTTGAAAGTCTCGGTCGCAAAAAAAAATTCATTATGCATATGAGTTTTAATGCGGGCTTAAGATTTAGGACCCCATTACAATTTTATCCTTTTATGTATTCTATAATCTAGGACCCTATCATTACGATTCTCGTAGGCATCTCACACAGAAAGGACACACAAGCTACTTCAGATAAATTATTATTTCTAATATTAAAGATGAAATTATTATAATAAGCTTAATTTCATAAATTCAATCCAAAAGGGTTGATGACTTTCTACCGTAACTAACTCGCTCCATGTATCCTCACAAACAGCGGCGGATCCAGGACACATTAGAGCACTGGGCCATATTTCATTAGAAAATTAGATATCATTTAAAAATCACAGTTTTTTTACAATATCAATTGTACACGTCGATCTTTTAAATTTTAATATAACGAATTCATCAATAATGGAGTTTACATCCACACCAATAGCATACTCTCTTTAAGATAAAATAGTTAACCAATTGGCGAGAAATTCATCGCTTATTTTGTTATGCAAATGTCAACATTAGACAAATCAATCGACTAATCAATATATATTGTGTATCAATTCCTATTTTCATCAGCTGCTCTAGTAATTTTTTAAGGGAATAAACCTCATATTTCTTTTAGTCTTTTACGTTTTAGAATTTTAGGTCTCATTATTTGTTTTTCTTTACATGAGAATCATTGGAGCTAGAATTTTCAAACTAAATTTAGAGTTCTAATTTGAATATGTTCATCTTATCCATTTTCCTAATTATACACAATTTTATTATAATACCACAAGGTCAAATGGCTAAAATTGATAAACTCATAAGGGCTATATTAATTCCGAATCCAGGGGAGGGGTGGACCATGGCCCGAGGTGGCCACCCCCTGGATTCGCCACTGCTCACAAAAAAGGGTGAAATCATAGACTCAACCTTCTTTGCCATTCCAACGATGCTCGTCATTCCATTCTCAACTTGTTTTTGCGGTTTCATTTTAAAATCAAGAAATATGGTATTGATGTTTCTAAAATCAATGATCAATATGTTTTTCTAAAAGGTTTAGGGCAAGGCTAACAAGTTACAAATCAAATTACTTTGAAATTTGAGTCATTTATATGGTTAAAATTATGCAATTGTAAGTGTTTTTATGTGGCTCATTCTCAACTAGTATATATTATGAGTCGTTTATATAGTTACAAATTAACTTTCTTCTCTTTCAACTAGTTTTATTTCTCACGAATATGCAAAAAAAACGAGAAGTTCAAAAGCTTGAACGAATGAATAAGTTTGCCATACAGATGGTGGAAAGTGATAAGCACAATTATTATACATTAGTTAATTTTCTTATTAAACTTACACTTATTTTATTTATTCCAACTAAAATCACTGAAAAGTAATGGTCACTTAGGAGTTACATAAAAAAACAAGCATCCAATTCGAATAAGTGAAGAGTAGCATAATAATTTATTGGTAGGATACAGAGAAAAGCATTTTAAAAAAACAAGCATCCAATTCGAATAAGTGTCGCGACTCATTCTAGAAACAACCAAGTGTATCATATTAGTAAAGCATTGAAATCATATGTTTCATTTGCGCATTTTAAAAAAAATAGCTTTATATTATTGATTTGTTTCAAGAACCCCATTCAATTGAAAGTCTGACTACGCCACTGCTTACACTTGCTACAACTATACCACATATTTATCAATACTTTACACAAACAAAGGATACTGCTCTAACTCTATTGCAAATTTTGCAGTCGTTAGCACCTTTAGGTCGACTTACTAATTGATACAATCTTAATAATTTATAAGAAAATTATTATAAATGTTAGTAAACTTTCTTAATGGTTAATTGGAGAATTGTTTTTGCAGGTTAACCCAAAATCCAACCGTACTCATCTGCCACCTACCCAATCCAACCCGCAAAAAAATATGGGTGGATAGTGAGTCACAATTATGTACACCAACTCGCTAACATGTGCATGAGTCGATTTGAGACCAAAGCTCACTCAACCAGCACATTGTCCACCCTCTTTTTTGTTTAGAGATGGCAATTTTGCTCATACTAGATGAATTTTTTAATATCCAACCCAATTGGTTTGGGAATGAAATTCACATAAATGATAAATTGGTAGAGTTTGATGTATATATACTCATACCCATTTATTTGGGTTGAGTTTTTTACATATGGATTTGGATTTGTACCTATGCCCAAATGCAAATTAAAGTTTGGTACGTAAACTTAATAGATTTATGATAACATCGGATTTGCACATGTTTGCACCCTCGTTTCTTGATCATTTTGGCTTGAGTTTTTGCTTTCTTGGACTATTTTATGCTAGATTATGTTCCTTTGTCACATTTCAGGCCCTAGCACATAAAGTGAAGCGTAGGCGCAAGTTTCAAGTCAATCGGAGTTCATTTGGCAATTCGGGAGAAGAAACACGAGCATGACCTGAGGAATAATGGATTTCTACCTCATATTATGGAAAAATTATCATGGAAGTTTTTTATGAAAAGAAAGAGGACGAAACTACGAGCGTCTGGGTTCAAACGGCGACTGATTTGGAGTCCGGACGAGGGAGAAACGAAGCTTTGAATAGGAGCGGAGGAAGAATTACGGGCTGGAGAATTACGACCGTATTTTCACCTCCCATGCCCGTATTTTCACTGTCGAAAGGAGTTTTGGGTGCGCTGAAACTTAACCAAAACGCGTGTTTTGGGCAAAATACGGGCATGGAATAATTATGACCGTAATTCAGCCCGTAATTCGCCCAGAATCGGGTTTTTGAGGCAGATTCGAGCCATAGGAAAGGGGGAGCTGGGTTTTGGTTCCCAAACACCCAAGGGACGAACCCTAGAGAGAGAGAGCGACTTGGGAACATTCTTGGAGCTATTTTGGAGGATTTCTTCATCATTGGAGCTCGCGAATCAAGGTTGGAGATGGAGATTGAAGATCTAGATCAGATTTCTACAGTCTTCTCTTCTCTATGGAGTAACTTCCCTTCACTTAGGTTTTGAGGAACCCTAATTCCATGTGTTAGGATCTTTCTTGTATGAAGTTTTGGATGCTATATTGTTTGATTATAATCGATTGAGGCATGATTTATTGAGTCAATTGAATCTTGATCAAATTCTGTCGGATCTTCCGCAGTTTAATCAACAGTAGATCAACCAAATGTAATTGCAACTTGGACCTAATTGAGGAGATAGGGGGAATCATACCTAAGTGAGTTCACAACTTGTAATTAGTAGAGTTGTCAGTAAAGTAGTTTATAAATCGATCCTTAATCTAGTTTGCTAGATAATGAACTGAAGCTGAGTAATAGTAACTCTAGAGACCCGTGGATTCGATATTTATTACTTGAGCCACTATACTGCAGTCTCTTTCATTGGTTACACTTGGCCATTGTTAGGTGTTGTGTTTTAGCGTGTCAAGTTTTTGGCGCCGTTGCCGGGGACTTTCTAGATTATTAGGAAAGACAGAAGTTTATTACTTTAGCGTTTTTCTTTTGTTTTCTGCCCTTGCTTTTCACTTGGGTGTTTTTTGTTTTTGTTGGTGCAGATCTGAATCATGGACCCTCATGGCTTCTCCAATCATTGGGGGTATCCACCACCATCCGAGTGGTATTACCCGAGACTCCCTGGAGTAACCAAGGAGGAGAAGACTATGGAGTCGGGTTTCAGTACCAACCCCCCTACTACGAAGAACAATCAGACCCCTGGGTATTTCAAGAACAATCTCCTTATCAAGAAGAATTCCTCCCACAACAAGAAGGGCCATCAGATCTTGAGTTCGCCACAGCCTTCACGGGTGATCCGGCAGAGCCATGCTACAATCCACAGCCAGATCCAAACTATCACTTGAGACTTCTTGTGGAGCAGATTGCTCGAGTACCTGAGAGATCCTTTCCCGAGATGGATCCTCATATCCAGGCCATTGCCCAAACTAACT